GTCCCCACCACATAAGCAGCAGACCCTGACTTGGAGGTCTGTACTCTGGACACTGTCATGGAGGACAGGCCTGCCTGAACCGAGGGTCAAGGATGGAGAGGGGTTTCCTAAGTGTGGACACATGTGGGAGAGCAGTTTCTGATGTACAGATGTGTATTTCTGGTAACTTCTTTCCGAACATATAGACATCAAGGCAGGAACAAGTCACTCCAACTTAGAGCACCTTTTTGCTTCTGATAAACGAATTGAATGGTTACTTCTGAACTGAACACAGAATTTCATTAGCTTATAATTTTGCTACCTCCAGAGTGCAATGGGTTTTTGTGCCTACATATTCAGGCAGTGTCATGCCCCTCCCCTGAGCCCACCCAACCACCTCATCTACAAAGTAACCCATGGGTCTGTTCTGGGGGAGCCGGAGTCTGCGTTCCAACGTGTGTATCGTTGCTCTTCTCCTGGCTCTAGGAAGCATTTGCCCCTTGTGTAGTTCTGATTCACAGGAATAGGAAAAAAGCTGAGAGTTTTTCTTTAATACCAAGGACCTTTTCCTAAAAGTAGCATGTTACCAAAATTGCCTTATATTTTTAGCATAATTTGATATTGTATTGTATTGTGAGAACAAATTTTCCTCTCTGAATCAGAGACTCGAACATTTTCATGACCATTTCTAATAACATAAAAGATATTTTGCAGAAGTGATGTAACTATGGCTAACAGCTCCTCTGTGAGGGGGAGTAGAGAGGGGTATTGCTCTTTCCTGGGTGGGAAAACCAGGCATCTACCACCCCAAGAAAGCTTCCACTGAAGCCATTAGATTCATGGGCTGGTTTTCACTGCTGCACAGCCCAGTGTTACCCTTAACCACCTCATCTGCAAAACCACGCCCACACCACAGGTGAAGGTGAGCATGGCCGGTCAGCAGCGCCAGCACAGGAAGAAACTCTAAAAGCAGTTTCTCTTATTATTGACTTTGTTGGGTCTTATCCCAGCCCAAGCCAGGGTCCAACAAAGGTCAAGGCAGCTTTGGGAAGAGCATGGGGCTGTTTCAGCCTAGCTCTGCCCTTCTAGCCGTGTGAGCTGAGCAGATATCATGACCTTAACAAAGTGAGGGTGGGGGAAGGAGCCACTGTGCACCTCCCTTTGGCTATCAGACCACTGATGCAAAAGACCCCAGAGAACCTCATGATGGGGAAAGGGCTGAAGATGGTACCAGAGGGGAGACTTGTCTCTGGGAAGGAGACCTCACACAGTTCTGAAACTTGTCAGACCAACTTGCGGGAGGAGCTGGAGCCAAGACAGTGAGGTCGATGAGGGGCAGGAGCACAGCTTTACTGCGTGGTAGTGTGACCTCAGCCTCACGTCAGAACCTCAGAGATGGACTTGGGGATCACTGGACAGCAGTATTCGTTTCTCTTCCCAGTGCGGCCATACTGAATATGTCTCCTTTCTCTTTTCATCATTGCATGTGTCTCTCATTGGCCTGTTGAGGATGGTGGCCAAGCCTAGCTTATTGGGCCCAAGGTCTGACCCCAACATTTCTAGTAATAACCTGACTCACCTGTGAAGAGAGGCTAACAGGCCTGGCCATGGCCCCAGAGATCTGATACCATAACCGGGTAGCATGATGCTCATTTCAAGGAGCTCTCTCCATCCTCTTCCTCCCCAACCTGGCCTCTAACACCTCCTCCCAGTGCTCCTGAGGAGCCGGTGTCCACAGATTGGGACTGTGGTTCCAGATGCCTGGGTAGGGTAGGAGAGGTGGAGAGCGTGTGTCTGCCAAACCTCTGTACATCCTCTAGGGCAGCTCCCTTTGGGGAGGAGGGCTCTCCTAGCTGTTCCTGCTATGACCACAAAATGCCACGGGCTGGGATATCTCTATATTTGTCATGGTTCTGAACACTTAGAAGTCCAAGATAAAGGCATCAGTGAATCTGTTGGGGGCTGCTCTCTGCTTCCAAGATGATGCCCCTTGATGCCTCCTCACATGGAGAAAGGCAGAAGGGAGAGAGGGATCTGCCTAGTTCCCTCCAGCCCTGTATGAGTTCCCTAACCCACCATGAGGGCTCTCCCCTTGTGACTTAATCTCTTCCTAAAGGCCTCACCTTTCAGCACTATCACATTGGGGGTTCAGTTCCAACACATGGGTTTGGGGGACACATTTATACTACACCAGAGACCAGCTTCACTTTTTATCTGGGAGCCCAGGGGTAAACTCCATGCCCAATGAGCAGAGCCTCTCACCCTAGTTAGCCTGCTCCTCGGCCCCTGAGAGTCTAGAGGGAAGGGACAAGTGTGCTTTCCTCTGATGCTGCAACAGCTGTGGGTTGGCTGAATTCTATGAAACTTAGAAGAATCCAAGTGGCTCCAGGAGATCCTTTGGGGAAGGAAGACAAGCTAATGGCAGTCCTGTAGGTGGTAGAGGTCCCCTTAGCTCCACAACTGGCCTGGGATGGAGCAGCGATCTTCAGTGTACCCAGGAATTCAGTAAACAGCCACTGAGGATGCACTGTGTATCCACCACTCCCTGCGTGTGGGGATGCAAGGAAATATCAGTGGCTGCCCTCGAGTAGATTACGCCCAGTGGGGAAAGAGTTAATACACAAGCAACTCTGCACCATAGTGCCGCACAATGTGTATGCTTCGGAGAGCAAGGGATGGGAGGGGTCCTCTCGAAAGAGCAGAGAGACTCTCACTGTGGAAGTGATCTTTAAGCTAAGATAATGAAAGTAAGAAAATGGAATGCACAGAGTGTCCAAACATTGTCCCAGGAAGACAGATGACTTGGGCAAAGATCCTGGACTTGTGTGGTTGGTGGCCATGGGGGTCCCAGGAGGACGTTGACTTCACTAGGAATGGCTCTGGACATCTGTGTGGATTTTGAACAGAAAAGTGGAAGGGTCTGCCCTTTGCCTAACAGGATCGTGATGGCTTCTCTCCTGAGAATAATCTTAGAGCACAAGGTGAGATGCAGGGAACTCAGAGATTTTAGGAATCCGAGCAAGGCATGATGGTGGCTTGCACCAACGTGGTAGCCATGATAGCACAGAAAAGGAAACGTGCTCAGACACAGCCTGTATCTCAAGGTGGAGTCAACATGACTTCCTGATGAACTGGATGTGAGCGGAGGGGGACAGAGAAAGTCTCCGGGCTTTAGTGTCTTGGTTGGCCTGTCTTCTGAGAGATGGAGACCAGAGCAGCAGGTGGCAAGGCGCCACCATCCACCAGATAGCATAGGTGCTGGGGTCAGCCTGAAACCAGGAGTACAGACCGTGAGTCAGAGTCATCTCGTTCCATCACAAAACAGCAGGAGGCTGAACATCACCACATTTCAGATAAGGAAACCGATGCCCTGTGGCTTGAAATTCTGTCCTAAATGGTTTGTCTTACACATTGGCACAGCCTGTAAGTGATGGTGCCAGAATCTAAAGCCATCCTTTCTGACAGCAGAACTCCTCTTCCTGACTCATAAGCTTTCTGTGGACAAGTAGATGTCCCGCTCTGAGAGCAGGGCACCCTTCAGCACATTCGGCAACTTAAAGGGGTGTTTCATTTGCTCTACCACAACCCTGCATGCCCCACTGTTACCTGTATTTTACAACCACCAAGGTACCAAGTCTCAGAGTCTGTCGTGAGGATCTTGGATGTACAAATACCAAGCTTTTAAAGCACCATGTGGCTCCAAAAACATGGTTTTCCATCAAAGAGTAAGTGGTATTGACTAAATCCCTGACATTAGTTCTTGGGAGGTGCCACTCAGACATTGTCACCTTGTCTTTGATCCATAGCTGTTTGCTGTATGAAAGAGTCACAGACCTAGCAACTGTAACCAGGAAGTCTTTGGGGCAGTAAAAGGAAAATAGGGTCTCATGGATCCCAAGCTGGTCTAGAACGCCCTGTATAGCCAAGAATAACCTTGAACTTCTGATCCTCGTACCTCCACTCCTGAGTCCTGGGATTACAGGAGTGTGACAGCAAAGCACGTTTATGTGGTGCTAAGAGCCTCACTACCCACTGAGCTACAGCTCCAGTCCACAGGAAACTCTGTGTATGTGTGTATGTTATGTGTGTAGTATCTATGTGTGTGATGTGTGCCCATGTGTTCACAAAGGCCAGAGGACCTCTGGTGTCCCACTCCATCACTCTCCACCCCATACCCTTGAGACAAGGTCTCTCACGAACCTAAAGCTAGGCCAGCAGTCAGCAGGCCCCAGCAATCCCCTTCCCGCTGCTTAACAGTGCAGGAACAACAGGCACATATACAGCTATGCCCAGCCTTTCACATGGGTGATGAGGATTCAAAGTAAGGTCCTCATGCTTGTGAGCGAGCACTCTTACCCACTGAGCCATCTCTCCAATCCAGGAAGCCTTTACTGAGAAAACCTTTCCTGCAAGCCACGCACCTCTCCAGATGCCACAGAGGCGCCTGGAATCTTCAGGATGCCCAGGGATCCCTGAGGTCTAATCAGGACACAGGAAGCAATGACTGCCTCCAGCTTCTCCATTTTCCTGGTCTTTCTGCAGCAAGCTGTCTCAGAGTACAGCAGTGGGTTAGATCTTTTGCATATTGGGAAAAGAACATTTTCTCCTGACTGATTTTGGTCCATATTTTTCTTAGAAACCAGGGTGCTTCTCTCCTTCCCCAGTTGCCATGTGCACACTGTGGAAGTGGGCGGAGACCTGCTGAGTGCCGAATAAACGTGAGATAATATTCAGCAAGCATCAGTTTGTGTTCATGCTGAGAAATTTTTAAATGCCTCATTCGAGACAAATACAAGACAGTAAGGACAGATTCTTCCCTCATCTTGACCAGGGTGAGGAACTGATTTATTCCCACTGGCTCATGTAGAGCTTGACCGGTGCCTCCTGCAGGTGCCGTCGCTGCTGTGGGGACCACTGGCATACGAGTGGGGCCCGTGGAGGCACGCCTCCAGCGTGACCTGACAGCCTGCTAGCTAGTTTGCTGGATCCTTACCGCTGCTTTTGTCTCCACCCCTCCACAGAAAAGCCTGGACACCTACTGCTTCCTCGTCTTTGCCACAATATGCGCCGCAGGTGCCATCTACTTTTATTTTGTCCTGCCAGAGACCAAGAACAGAACCCATGCAGAAATCAGCCAGGCATTTGCCAAGAGGAGCAAGGCTTACCCCACAGGGCAGAAGGCTGACTCTGCGGCGGCTGAGGAGACAGCAAATACCGTGTGATCTGAGTCAGACCCCTGCTCTATGCTGGACAGCCATGGCCAAAACAGGATTGTCTATGTGACCTCACCCCAGCCACCCAAGGCTTTCCAGACACTTGGAAGACATCAGCTGACTGAGGCCACTCGAATCTCTCCTGATGAAGGCTTGAGGAAGAAGTCAGTGTGAATCAGACCTCCCAGTGTGTCTTCACAGCTCCCCCTCCCAAACTCCCCAGGAAGCTGACAGGTTGTCCCCTAGGTTTAGTACCCTTACCATTCTGTGCAGACCAACTTCTCTGACTGAACTCACACTTTTGAAATGAAGTTGGCAAAAGGAGATCATGTTGCCTTCTCAAAAGAAAACTGTCTCATCTGATGGAGGATTCACTGGACTGGGAACAGCAGCCCGAGGCTTAACCTAGCTATGCTGGGGGTCACAGCCCCACCTTGCCTTCTGCCTACAGCCTCAGAGTCCTGGACCTTGGTCCTACATGGAAGCTTTTCAAGTTCCATGGGAAGATTCTTTATACCCCCCAACCACTGCTCATTGCCAGTCTCCCCTGTGGACCTCATGCTTAGGACAGCCTCATACCCACCAGGCACACTGCAGGTCCTGCCTTGTCCAGCCATGTCCCTGGGACTCAAGGCTGCCAGGTCTGGGACTATCTTTCATTCAGACTGTTACACAGATCAAAAAGATCAGTGTGTAATACAAGAAAGAACTTTCTGGTAAGTAGGGAGTAGAGACTGCAAGTTGAACTCTGAACACTAAGAATGACTCTGATACAATACCTAGACTTGATGGGAAACAACAGTGGAAATGACTGATCGATCGATCAATTGATTGATTGATTGATTGATTGATCGACTGACTGATTGATCATGCCTGCTCTGAGTACAGGACTGAGAGATCAGCTTTGTGTTTGAAAAGTCAAGAAGAGAGTCACCCTCTGAGATGATGAGCCACCTTGAAAGATGCTCCTGTCACTCAGTGCTCAGGTGAAGGCTGAGTTCACCTGTCTCCACTGAGATTAAGGGAGTCTGAGTCCGTTTTAGAGGAAGCATTTGAGTGGATGTTTGAGTTGGAGCAACTTGAATTCTGCCACTGTCATGCCTGACATGCGGTTTAACTGACTCCTTTCTGCCTCCAAATGAAGGGAAGATGAAAATTTCATAAGCAAACGATAGGCACCTAAATTCACACCAGTGTGTTTGAGTCTCCAGTGCTGTGCTAGATGGCTTCACTTGTTACCTGGACACACCTGGGTAGAGGGAGCCTCAACGGAGGAACTTCCTCCATTGGATTAGTCTGTGGCCATGTCTGTGGGACATCTTCTTGATTGTTGAGTGATGTGGGAGGGCCCAGCCCACTGTGGGTGGTGCCACCCCTGGGCAGGTGGTCTTGTAGAAGAAAGCAGGCTGAGCACAGACTAGGGGAACAAGCCAGTAAGAAGCATTCCTCCATGGTCTGTGCTCCAGCGCCGGCCTCCAGGTTCTTGTCCTGACTCCCCTCAGTGATGAGCTGTGACCTGGGAGATGTAAGAGAAAATAAATCCTTTCCTCCACAAGTTGGTTTTGGCCAGTTTTATCACAGCAACAGAAAGCAACTAGGACAGATGTGTTAGAAGGAATGGAACAGAGAGAGAAGTCTCTGGACCAGGAAAAACCACTGGCCCCTCCAGTTTTCCTTGACTTATGCGGACAAAGGCAATCTTAACTAAATCCTGCGTGTTACTTTCCCTCCCTGCTGAACACTCTCCATGGGACCTCTCCTTGGGTGCATTGCCAGCCCAGGACACCACCTTCCAGCATTGGTTTGAACAGTGTCAATGTGACGAGAAAGGGACATTGGGTATGACACGTATCTGACACAAAAGGAGCCAAATAAGTTGTAAAATACAGGGCTGGAGACATGGCTCAGCAGTTAGGAACACTTGCTGCACTTGCAGAGGACCCAAGTTCAGTTCCCAGCACCCACATTAGGTGGCTCACAACCCCCTGTAACTCTAGCTCCATGGGATCTGTTGCCCTCTTCTGGCCCTGTGGGCGCTGCATGCACACGGTGTACATAGGTATTCTCAGGTACAGAAGCACAAAATAATCTTCTTAAAAGTTCTAAAATAGAAATCTTAGCCTGAATGTTGTGATTCACTGGGAGACTTAAATATTCAGTCAATGATATTTTATCAGTTAATAAATGTTCCGCCCTGGCTGGGTGACGGGGGCATCAATCACAAGCAAGACACTGTCCCTGCCCGCACAGGTTCACATCCCCCCACACATGTTCATATCCACCGGGGAAGATGGCAGTAAAGACACAAGTGGGGAGGTACATCAGTTCGGGGTGGGGGTGTCGGTGATGTGGGAACAGTTGGGGTGACAGGTGAGGAAGAAGAAGATTGTCCCAAGTAAGAGACAGAAAGAGAACAGGGAGCAGCATGACCACCAGGCAGTGGCTGGGGACTATTCTTACATATCCTTGTATTTGAAATAATCGTGAAGCCACATGAAGAACATTCCAGAAGAATAAGGCTCGTGGTAAGAGCCATCATCTCACACTTCATCCAGCTACTTTTCATACAACCCTGTCCATTTCCTGCCTGTTATTTATCCGCTCACAACCACAGAATATATAACACATGGTTACAGTCATTCTCTTATCTATATCATAAATCAAATATATCATCTCAACCCCACAGCCCTCTGTTCGCACTCTGGTACCCGCTGCAGAGCAACAACTTCATGTAGGAAGTTGTTTCTCAGATGCTAAAAGATAACGGAGAGCCAGGAGTCAGACAGACTGAGCGTCATACACAGGCCCTGCTGCTTTGCTGAGTGGCAGCAACTGTCTGCATGCTGAATCCAGGCTTGGTCCCTGGAAGAGGCTCCTCTGCCAGCCTTGGTTCCTGATTCCCGATTCCCGCCCAAGCATTAGCAGTGAGATCTTTCTCTTTCCACTGCACCTCTTCCCTCATCTCAGAGCCTTAGGAGTTACTATTTTCTCCTTTCAGATTCACTGAAAGAAAAGTTATTCTTTGAGCACACACTGGGCCATTTCCCTCTCACTGATAACTAAAAACCCTGGGCACAATCACAATGCAAATGTATGCAGACTCTGAAAATAAGTAACAGCAGGCAAACTGAAGAGGGACTCAGAACTGAATAGCAGCTCATGAGCTCCTGCATCTTTGCCTCCCACAGCTCTGGCTTACACTGCAAGACAGAGCAATTTCCAGAACCACATGGTGGTACACATAGGCCAAGATCCAAGAGAAACCACTCTTTCCAAAGTAACCAAAAGGGAACTTACAGGCCCTGTCCTGCGGAGACATCAGTGACCCCCTGGGCATTCACAGAAAAATCCTTCCGATAAGAGGACCTGGAAAAACGGGCCTCTGTGTTCCAAACAATGTAGGAGAATGCTCTCTCTCTCTCTCTCTCTCTCTCTCTCTCTCTCTCTCTCTCTCTCTTGCTCGCTCTCGCTCTTGCTCTCTCTCCCTCCCTCCCCCCTCTCTCCCTCCCTCCCTCCCTCCTCTTTTCTCCATTGCTGCCACAAACAAAAGCCCAGCTGTAACATATGTAGTATGACACCATAGAGAGAATGAAACCTTGCATTTCTACCGGAAAGAGAAGGCTTGGAAGTGGAGTATAAATGTGGGAGTGGGGATCAGTGGGAAAAGAGCTAAAGAGAGGGAGACCACATGTCTACGTGAGGTCCTGGGTTTGCCCCTCACATCCACATGCATAAGCCTAACCAGAGGGAGAATCCCAAAGTTTGGAGAATCAACGTACATCTGTACCACAGCACAGGCCCAACCAGTGTCCACGAAGTGCACACATCAGGCACCACTTGGACTTCCAAAATCCAACTGAAACTGGAGCCACTGTCCACAAGTCAGGGGTAAGGACTTTTCTGTTGGAACTTAACCAGGCCAGTTGCCTGCTTTAAAGTAAAAGTACCCAGAAGGTTTTAATATGACCTCATGTATAATATTCAAAATAGATAAGATAAAATCCAAAATTACAGACACTTTTTATGAGAACAGGAGGTAGAAATTGATCAGGAGGTACAGGGACCCCCAAAGCAGTAGTTCTAAGAATGTTTTTGTGGAGGCCAGGGATACCAGAGAGCACTCAGGTTTCTAGCTCTTGTTATCTCTTACCTTTGCCTGGAAGCTGTTATACAAGAGGACCTAGACAACTAGACCCCTTGTGGCTGGGCCAGCTGGACTGAGCATTCATGCCCTCCCCATGCCCCACCACAGTTTCTGTTCTAAGTCCTTTAAAAGCCCACAGACTGGACCTGACCATCTGAGTCACACCAGCCTAGCCCCACTGTGCAGCACCCCAGTGCACCTCTCCTGTGGGAGCCTGGACCTGTGCATGGCCACTGCACGGTGCACCCATGGTCAGCCCGGCCATCATCATCGTCCAGTGGCTGTCAACACCTGGCTTCAGGCTTCAGAAGCAATAGGAACCTGAGGGGTCTACAGACTTCAGAAAATAAGCTCGGGGACACTGGTGTAAAGCTGTCGTGTGAAGCTGTAAAACATCCCAACTGCCACTCAGAAAATCTGGGGTTGGAGGCCCATGAGTTAACTGCTGCCCACTGTGAGGACCTAGCTTCCACTTTTACCCACAGTAAAACCCTACAGATTCATGAAGGGCAGTGAACTCTAAATTGAATAAATTAAAAATCACTCTTGGACACAGCAGATCAAACCAATGACAAATATAAAGGAGGAATTAGCAACAGGGAGAGAGTGGTCACCTCTGCTTATAAGGATTGCACTGGATGGCTTTAGTTCTCAACTTGACACACCTGGGTGGAGAGAACCTTAGCTGAGGAATTGTCCCCATTGGACTGGACTATGGCCATGTCTGTGGGGCATTTTCTCAGCTCACTGTGGGTGGCGCCACCCATGGGCAGGTGGTCCTGTATTGTATAAGAAAGAAGGCTGAGCACAGGCCTAGGGAGCAAGCCAGTAAACCATGTACCTCCATGGCCTGTGCTCCATGGTTCCTGTCCTGAGTTCCTGTCTTGGCTTCCCTTGATGATGGACTGTGCTTATAAGCCAAATAAACCCTTTCCTCCTCAAGCTGAATTTGGTCAGGGTCTCTATCACAGCAGTAAAGAAGCTAAGTCAAGGACATACTTATTTGATTGCAATTGTAGCTTGAACCCCTATGTTTTACCCAGTTTAAAAATGTGAGCCAAAAAAAAATGGACTTCCTCTCTAAATAAAGAAGTAAAAACAGCAAAAGAAACTGCTATTTAATAGAATCAAGAAACACATGGCCTATAGTGTGGGAAACTTCATACATAATGTAACCTGAAAGCCAGTCACTCAAAAGGGTACCTTAAGGGAAGGTAAGATGGCTCAGTGGGTCAGCACGTTTGTGTCATAGATATGAAGACTTGAATTCCAGTCTCAGCACCCATGTAAAAAACAGGGTGTAGCCCCTGTGCTGTGGGGGTGAGGGCAGGAGGATTGCTTACAAGTCACCAACATAGCTCCTGGTTCAGTAAGAGACTTTGTCTCAAAGGATAGAGTGAAAAGTTACAGAGAAGGACACCCAACAGCCTTCTCTGGATGCCACACACACATGCATAGGCACACCCACTGCACATACGCTATGCACAGATATACCACACTCATATGCATGAACACACGAAAAAGAAAAAACCACCTAGCCAGCTATTCATTGGCCAGTTCCAGAATGTGATGTGATACAATTATCCAGCCTATCCACAGCAAACAGACAGAGAAAGAAAGTTAGCAATTGGCTGGACTCAGCTTCTGCCAGCGAGGATTGACTGCTGTTGTTGAAGTGCTGACTGGAGTTATCCATAGTCCCTGCAGAGACAAGGGATTTAGTGCAACAAAGGTCTCCCTGCTTCCCCTGACACCGAGTTAGAGGTCCTGTCTTTACTTGAATGTCCACCGATTCAGAACAGATACCTTGTATTCTACAGTGACAGGATGATCACCCAGGTGTGATTGTATGTTTGTGCTTGCATGCTAAGCACAGAAAACACTCCTGTTCATCTCTTCAGGCTGGTGGCCTCTGCTGACCAAGACAATGGCCACCCACTCCACTGTCTGTGTGACTGTCCACAGCGTCCAGCCAGTGTGGTGCCCAACACACAGAAAGAACATGATGAGACTTGGATATACAAATGAATGGACAGGAAGCATGGAGAGCAGGGTAATGGCCACGCACAGGTGTCAAGGGTCTGGTCCCCATCTTCCAAGGCAAAAGATACTTTGCTGGTATGATCAAGTGAGTTGGGGAAGTTGACATGGATTATCTGCCCAGACC